TGGTGTTGTTCGTTTCTGATGCACTCATAGTTGCGGAGAGCTTTCGTGCTGAAGTCTCCGGGATAGTCTCCTTATATATACATTTACACGATTCACGAATGACTCTTTGCCGCAGTGACTCTTGTGATGTTGTATGACTCAGCCTTGGCCAACTCAGACTGTGGCGATAGTGACTGTTGCCTATGACTCCCACTAACGCATGCAGATTAGAGTTGTACTCAAAATCGGTTACCAGTGCTGTGATTCTGACTATTTGAAGTCGTGCATAAAGCCTTAGCCTCAGTCGCCCACAAACTCAACCACTTGGTATCCGCCCTTTTCCCGAATGCTAGCTGCTTGCATGCTAGTTTCCATATCGCATGACCATCCCCGGCTTTGTAGCCACGTCAAGACTGCCTAGATCCACAGCGGATCTACGTCAACATCCTCAACTTCACCACCTCCAGCCTTGCCTGCAGCCCCGCCTTCTTTGTGTGCTTCCTTGCGCAGCTCGACAACGCTACCCACTGGCTTGCGTCCCGTAACGAGCATCGAGATGTGGTAGAGTAGGTCGTCAGGGCCTAAGACTTTGAGGTTCTTGCCCTCTACGGCCTTGTCGTCTGCTGGTAGGAGCTCGTCGTTGTACAGGACGAAGTCGCCTAAGACGTGGCTACCTGCCTCGTCATCCTCGTCCCCTTGATCTTTCGGACCCCAAACCTCAAGGTCCAGCTGGGTGAGCAGGTTGGGTAGATTCTTCAGAATCATGCTTGAGTCCTGCTTGCTGTTGAACGTGTCCTTCGTCAAGAGAGTTATGTGACGAATCCATGGGCTAGGTTGACCCCGGCGCTTCACACGCCCAACCTCCTGAGCCCTGATTGATTCGTTCGGCGGGGGTTCGTATTCGATAGTAGTACGGCACATTGTCTGCATATTCAAACCCGAGCAAGACACCAGATAGGAGCAGATGAGTACCGCTACTAAGTGAGGGTCGTTGTTGAAGTCATTCAAGATTTTATCTTGCTCGGTCTGACTCAGATCGGTGCGGAGTTGGAACGCGGAGAATTTAAGGAGCAGTAGGACCTGTAGCCACGTATTAGCCTCTGTCTACCACACAGTTGCAACGAACAAAGCTTACCTGTTGGAGCCATTCGGCCTGAGCCGGATTGCTCACCCAAATCAAGACCTTTTCCTGCCTAAGCACCACAATTTCGGCGAGGATTCCCAAAAGCTTCCTCAGTTTAGGCGCTCCCTGGCAATGCCAATGAAGAATCTGCTGGACGTCTGCTTCGATGTGTGTGTGCTTGTCGACCGGAATTTGCTGATCAATGGGCACACGCAGGCGCTTTTGGCCTGAGCGCATATCTTTGAGTATGGTGAGAGCCGTCATCTTTTTCTTGCGCTTAGCGGCCAACTTTGCGGCTTTGTAGCTGTCGTCAAGGAGGTATTTGAACCCAAGCCACGAGCTCAGTAGGCATAGCTTTCTGTAAGTCGTGGTGTTCCACTCCACGTTCTTCTTCGAAGCTGTCTTTGCGAAGAGCGTCTCTGAGGTCTTCGCTACCGCTGCATCGTAAAATGCTCGTTCGGCTGCATTGAACTCACAGTCGTACACCAAACGCTGCACAGCGGGAAGAGCGGCTCGCAGGGGTACACCGTTGATCTCGGAGGAATGAGTGCGGCGGAGCATAATCTTCCTTAGGACTTGTGACATCTTGGATCCCTGCTCAGCCATTGTAGGCGATACTATGGGGTTGAAGATGTACTTTACCATGGCCTCCTGACAGTACTTGAGAGGGGCACGCCGATCATCATCCGCCACAGTGTAGGGGTTGAACTTTATTAGAATTGAGTCGAGCGGGCAAGTGCCACCCATAACGAAGACTGGGCTGGCTGGTTTGGCGAAGTCAGCATCGACGAAGCCGAGGGAGCGGAGGTAGTTCTCGTCTTGTAGAGCTGGGTTCTGGAGGAACTCCATCAACCCACAATACTCTTTTAGACCGTTGAACGTAGGGGTACCTGTTAGTATGTGTCTATACGTGGCGCCAAGATGGTTGATAGCCCATCCAATCTCGTCCGATTGAAGGCGAATTTGGTGACCCTCGTCGAGTATAATCCTGTGGATCATACCATACATCTGATGGGGGCAATTGACATCAATGCTCTTGTAGGAAACGCCTTCCGACGTCAGTTCTGCAGCGGCCTCTTTCTTGCTGATCCTTCGCTCTTTCGCGCGCTTGTCAACCAGCCAGTTCCATTGTACCTTTGGGCCGTGGCGAACAGCCCAGGTAGAGTAGCTGGTCAGGATGATGGTATCCGCATTGCACTCCTCACCGTTGAAAATGTCGTGGCTACGGGTGAGCCTGGCGGCCTTGCCTTTACCTTTGAGGTAGTAGACGTTGGGGTTCGCCGACTTCTTGGAAGGGCCGTAGTACACAAGGATTCTGAAGCGCTCTGTGAACTTGCAGATTTCCTCGAGCCACTGGGCAATCAGGTTTTGCGGCATAATGATTAGCGTTGGGCGCGCTTCGGGTACCTCCTCGCCATCTGCAAGCTTCTTCCGGCGTTCGTTCGAGCGGAATAGTAAGAGCCCGAGTGTTTCGAGGGTCTTTCCAAGGCCGCAATCTTCTGCGCATAGACCTCCATTTACACAGCCTTCTTCGAAGTCGACCATAGCGTTGATGCCGGTGGGTTGGTGAGCATCTAGGAAAATGTGCTTCATGAAACCTTCCATTCTTGGCTTCTCAGGGTTTGGGATACCCAGCCTGTCGCAGGCTTCCTCGTGATTCTGCCGTTGATACGCTGGGTTGTCTGTCCACTTCGTCTGTTCTCGGTAGGCTTGAATTTCCTCGGCAGTAATGGTCCTCAGCTTCGTCAGAGGTGGACCTCCGATTTCTGTGTTGTCGTTCCCTTCATTCAGCTCTTGATTGAGAGTGCTGAGTGTGGTCCCATTGATCGATTCTATCATGTCGTGAGAGTACTAAGCACAGTTAGTTAGAGATGGGTGATGATAATTTTCGTGGCTACAGCTTACCTGAAGTGCCTGTACGGCCTCTGATGCTTCAGCTTCCTGGACCTCGTTGCCTCCAAGAATGAGGACCATGTTGTGCAGGTCGACGCTATGTTGCTCTTTGCTCTCCACAAGCGACAGATTGTATCTCCAAAGGCGGCACTTGAGGTCTATTTCTGTAGCCTCAAGGCTTACAGCTTCCTCTACCATAATGGTGTACAGTTCTTGTCGGTTTTCGGCTGTTGGGGCTTCGGGTACACCTTCGGGGGCGGGCACCTCCTGCGGCCCAACTTCTTCGTGCTCTTCTTTGAGGACGATGTCCTCGGTTTCTAGCGAGAACCTCACCACCACATCGTCCTGCGCTGCATGGTTTTGCGCATCCTCGAAAGACATTCCTTTCGTGGCTACAAGAGCCTTGCGCCGCTGCTTGTGGGTACTTAGATCGAAACGTCGGTTTATCTCTTGCCAGAAGCCGTCCAAGCTGTAGCCACAGAATGACTCAACGACAGTTGTAGTGGTGGCGGCGTTGGATGGCAGATCGGAAGGCTGACCTTTGGTCCACTTAACGACAGCCATACCAAGCTGTGGATCAGGCTGCTCAGCGTCGGGCTCAGCGTCGGGCTCAGCGTCGGACTCAGCGTCGGACTGATCTGATTGAGGTTTGGCGGATCGTGCGGCGCTTGTCTTTGACTTCTTCTTCTGCGATTTAGTGGTGGTCTTGGATCCTCTGGCGCGCTCTCGCTTCGCAAACAAAACATAATGGTATGCTGTTTGGGTCAACGTCTTGTTCTCCAAGCGCGAGCCGTAGAAACACCCTTCACGATCGACCTTGTTTTCTTTAACAAGCCAGTGTGTCAGCCAGGCATGCCAATCAATCTCATCCTCGTACTCGGGGAAACGTGACTCCTTGTCAAACCTCCTGCAGAGGTAGGGGTACGAAGTCAGTATATGTCTCACATGCACTTCGTACAGTCAGAACTTACCTGCGACCGTTTTTCTCTCCTTCTCTGATCCAGGCATACAGATTGTCGAAGTCGGCGACTTTCTTTCCAGGCCTGAAGAGGTCGGTGTTAAGAAACTTGCTAACAAAGATATCCCAATACGGCTTAACAAACGATGATTGCCGCCATTCCTCAAATGCTGCCTCCGTGTCAAAGCAACCGAAAGAGGCGATGACCTTGCTCTTGTCCTCGTATGGCCTGCGCTTACGCTGTCGCTTCTTAGAAGAGGAGGAACCGCCTCTCGCCATTCTAGCTAGTCCTGGCTGTGAGCTTGCAGGAGATGCCCAGGTGTGCGGTGGCTACTTGTGAGGAAGCACTGCTCGATGTGCGCGAAGTTGCCCAGGTGTGCGGTGGCTACTTGTGAGGAAGCACTGCTCGATGTGCGCGAAGTTGCCCAGGTGTGCGGTGGCTACCTGTGTGAGGAAGGTGTCGTTGAACGGTAGTCAGCTACCTGTGAGGAAGGTGTCGTTGAAGAGTAGTCACTGCTCGCGCGAAGATTTGCGGTGGCTGCCTGCGGTAAAAGCGGTCTGTGCCCTGCAAACGAGGCAGTGTTTGCACCACAACACTGCGATGACGTAGCCGTGTAGAGCTTCGAGCCAGCTTCACCGTGAGTTAATCTTTCCCGGGCGGTGGCCGCCGATTTATCACGCTCTGTTACTATATGAAACGTCTCACGTGATTCAAGAAAACCTTGGAAGTACTGAACACTGTGGAGCCTACTTTGATGTCAGGCTACCTTATTTGGATGTTTACGTATTGATGTAGGCTCTAGGGTGTTCAGAATATTCCTTGAATGCGCAGCTTCGGATAGCCTGTGTCATGGCGTTGGAGAATTGCTTGAGTACCTAACGATAGGTATCGTCGGCTTTGGGAACTGTGACTTGCATTTCTTCCGGAAGACCCTTACGGATCTGGGTTGCTCACAGATCTCTCAGAATTCGGCGAGCATCGCCATTCTTTTCACGGAACTCATTTAGTTTCTTAATCTTGTAGTCTAGCTAATAAGCGAATCTAAGCTATGACGTTAATAGGCATAGTTTTCGGTATGTCGTGGTGCTCCAGGTGACAGCGGATCCGCTCTTGCGAAAGAGAACAGACGAACTATCCGCATACGCTGCGTCGTATTGTTGACGTTCCTGAGGGCTATACTCGCATTCGAACACCATGCGTTGGACGCTTGGCAGATCTTTGTCGAGTCTTCTTCCGTTCAGTGTGGATGCGTAGCTTCTCCGGACCATGAGACCCTTGAAAGCATTGATGATGCGAGCGCCTTGTTCCGTGCTGGTGATACCCTTACGCTTCTTGGGGAAGGCCCAAACATTGAGAGCCTCCTGGCTGAACTTGAGAATAGCTATTGGATCGGTGGCTGTGATGTCCGTGATCTCGGAGAGCGGCGGGCCTGCGGGCATGTCTGGATCGTCGTCATGGTCGATCTCTGAGTCTCTGGGGTTGCGATCGGATAGTAAGTTGCTGAGTTCGTTGAGTTGATGGGTGTACTGTGGTAGGTTAGCAAAGGTGAAGTCAAAGGTGAGAGAAGCTACCGTTAAACTTACTCTGATAGCTTGCTCGGCATGTCTCCCTTCATGCCCTCTCTCACCTATGTTCAGAGTGATGTGCTTGACCGGAACGTCTCGGAGGCTCTTGGACTCAGACTTCATCAAGTGATAATTCCACAGCCTGACTTTCATATCGAACTTGTTGGCGTGTTTATCCGAAGCCTCTGACACTAAGGTTCTATTCACGATAATAATAGAAGCGGGCTGACGCGACTCTGCTGCTGTGGTCAAAGGGAAGCGGTAGCTGGTACTGCTCTTGCATAGATCAAACGACGAGGTTCTTCAATACCTCGTCGAAAGCCTCCCAGTTTCAAAGTACGGTGACGGAGACATTCATGTTTTGTGTTTCGTACGTAACGCCAGAAAGCACCCTGGAGGTACTCGCTGATATTCCCGTTGATGCGCTCATGTCAACATGGAGTATGTATACGCCTGGAGTACACACGAAGGCGCAGACAAAAAGGAACAGACTCTTTGTATCTGCCTAGGTGTCTCCCCAAGAAAACTGTTGTCATACGCAGGTGCTGGGATATATCGCGTAACAGCCTTATAATAGCTGTGCATTGCTGTGGATTTGTCAGAGTAGCTCTCTAAACGTCTGTTATACTAAGCGAAGTTTTATACCGCGTGGCAGCGTCGTAGCAGCTTTAGGCTTCCCCTCCACGGGTCCGCTCAGCCATATACAAGCATTATACCAGCGGATTAGTAGTTAGGTAGGGCACTAGATAGAGATACCTAAGCTCATCACATCCCCCAAAGGAATAGCAAGCTAGGACAGCAAGCATGCACGATGGCTTGCCAATCGTCGGAAGGGCAATTCTTGCGCATCACGTCGCCAGAACCGCGTCACCACCTACCAACACATCCCCTGTACTACACCGCTGCTCAAACTGCACAACAAGACAGCTCCCATCACTGGGAATAAACAAAAGTATGTCCCAGGACAATCTACATCAGCGCCTTGCCTTCCATCGAGCTTTCAAGTTTACTATGGCCATCACAGGCGACATACAGGCAACATACAGGCAGCGAATGAGGCTAGCATTAAGCCTGTGCTTATCTTAGTGGGTCTGGATGGATGAGCCTGCGACGTGAGGATGCTTTTGCCCTAGCTACAGACCTCAGCACTCCAGTTCGAGTTGGTGATCCACCTCCAAAAGCTTCAGTACGGCATGACGAATCGCTTCTCCGAGGTACATGGTGATATTTACTGGTGGACATGCCATACTCAATTAATTCTGGAGGCCCTGGAGAGAGGCTCTGGCCGACGAGCTTATGGCAGCATGAAAGCTCCTCTAATCCGGAAAGGACGTCTCCTTCGGCGTGGCATGCGGCCGAAACTTCGTCAACACAGCCTCGCGATTTCCGACTAAGGGCAGACTCATTAGCGCCTCTTATTCCACCGCACGCCAACGTAAGAAAAAGCTGAACAGCCTGGAGCCTACATTAACGCTGGGTCACCGCCTTTGCAAGATTTTGGCTTAATGTAGCCTGCAGAGCTGTTCAGTGTTTGTCTTGTATGAGGTGACCGGGCTTTCAAGTTCAATACGTGCGGCCGCCCCACATGCAAAAAAAAACTTTATCAACACCACAAAAAACTTCAAAAACATACAACAGCGGGGATTCGCTAGTGGTCACCCACCTAACTACTAATCCGCCGGTACAATGCTTGTATATGGCTGAGCGGACGGGAAGCCTAATTCTCATTGTCCTATGGTCGTATGTGAAGGAACAGGCATTTCTGGAGTTTATAAAGTGAAAACGGCGACGGGCAACCATCACAGGCGACAGGCCTACGCGAGGAACTCCGTCCATTCCTATGGTCGTATGTGAAAGGATGGGTGAGTAATAGTGTATACGACAAAGCATGTGAGTCCTTGGAGGCGTCGGGATTGCAATGGTAAAGTGGTACCTGAGATTGTGCCTCCTCACTCACTATAGTAGTCTATAGAGCATAAACGAAGCTAGTTTGAGCATAGTCACAGGGAATGTAATAATGCAAAGCCTTTCCCCTACTCTACCGTGTTTCTCTACCTCTATACCATCTATGTGTGTTCCCCTCTTACCCAACAACCACCACCTCAACGACCCTTCTAACACTGCACCCCAAACTTCCTTAACGTCTCCTTACCCGTTGTAATTTTCATACCAATCCTACCCAAAAGTTAGCATTCAACACATAACACATCGCATAGACCATCGACATACCTAGCATCCAAATCAAACCCACCCATCTTCGTAACCTCATCCAACCAATCCTTACACTGCACCAGCATCTGCGGATTCTTCTCCGGATGCCCGGCCGCATCAGCCTCGCGCCAGATATTCGCGGCCATCTCGTAGCGCGCACAAGGCGCAGTCCAGTTATCTTTGAAGTTACCTGTGATAAGCAATTTATCAACAGGCAGGACTTCTTTCTCTAGGATGGCCTTGGCTTCAGCTGTTTGGTCCATGTTACGGAGAGTAGCAGCGCGCAAGACGTGGAGAATGGATTTCTCGTCTACGCCCTCCTTGTCCCAGTGCGGGTTGGCCGGTGATTCGCTCCAGGCCAGGTTGGCGAGGGAGACTTGGAGGTGGTCGTCTCGCATGCGCTTGTATCCGTTCCAGAAGTAGATCATTTCCTCGAGTGGAGAGACGCCGACGGCGTCGACGATGTCGCAGTTCCATTCCTTGGCGCGTGCTTCCCATTTCTGGATTTTGCGCGCGACGAAGATGTCGAAGGGTAGTTGGCGGGCCATGAACCTCTTCTTTCCGACGTTTGGCATGACTTTCTTCATGTACTCCTCTGCTTTCACACCGTATTCCTTTGCTTTGGTCGGGTCGGTCGTCTTGTGTTTTCGGTAGAGTTCGACGTATGAGGCAGCGATGATGTGGTAATATAGGGCGTGGGACCAGTTGTTGAGGCCAATGCACTTCTCGAAAGCGAAAGCGGTAGCTTCGTAGTCGTGCATGTACATGTTATTCAAACTGCGCTCAAACCATGTCAGGGCTTCCAGCTGTTTTAGCTTTGACTCGCCTACTTCGTGCATGAATTGAACAGCCTCTTCCAACTTCTTGTCAGAGGCGAGCATCCTGGACTCCTCAAGTAGCCAGAGATGACTCTTGGGATACCTTGCGCGCATATAGCGGAGCAAAGCCAGACACCGTTCCTTCGGGTATGCTCCTTCGCCCTTGGTAGGAAGTATATCGCAGAAGTTGGTGAAGCCATTGATGTATCCCATGAGCACAACTCCAGCCATGGCACCGTGGATGTTGTGGAACTTAGTCGCTTGCCACAGCATTCGCATTCCTCTCTCCCTATCACCCTTGAAGCCAACGATCTTAAGCAATCCAGCGAAAGACGGCGGGATGAACGAGAGGATAAGTAACAGCATGCCGAAGCAAAAGTTGGATCCGGAGAGGATAAAAACATCGACAGGGTGGTTGCTGAATGACGCGATATCTGCATCAGCATCACCCTCATCGTTCAAGGTAAGCTTCTCAAAATATTCGATAGCGTCTGGTAGCGAGTTGGATGGGTTTTCGTTCGTGGTAGGAAGCCCTGGTGCCGAACTTGCCGCGACATCCACCTTCTTTTGAGCATTGTCTAGCTGGACAGTAGCACCCTTGTCAGCGGCGACGTTCAGATGCCCCATGTATTCCACAGGCGTTTCACCGCCAGTGTGATCTTCTGGAGCGTCCACGAAGTCGACATCGTCATCGTCGTCATCTGTGGCCTTCTTCGCTGCTGGTCCAGTCACTGTAGTATTCTGCTTCAGACTAGAAGTCGACGCTGCAGCGGACTGTCCGGTAGACGTAGGACCCTGGGAGCTCTTCAGAGCACTGCTTGCCACATTTGATCGAACCGAGCCCTTTGAAGAGGGGCGCGATCCCACCGAGTTGACGCTACTCGTGCTCCTTTCTGCCAGAAACTTTTTCTCATTCTCCATCACACCCTCCAGCGCAAGGTATGCTTTTCTTAATTTGTAGAAACTCTTGATGGCCTCCGTCAAGCTCTCGTTGAGCACACCGACAACAGCACTCATCAGCTGTGCTTCTGCCTGACAAACCGCATACTCGGTGCCTGGAGGGTATATGGGCGATTTATACGCGTTCGGATCTTTGCTAACACGGCGTTGGTGTTCGTAAGCGGAGTTCTCGGCCACTGATAGGGCATTGGCAGCTGTCGACCATGTCAGTCACTGCATCTCCTTGACATCATGTTGAATATGCGATCAGACCTTCGCGTACGATTTCCGGCTCGAAACCCAACGTCGCCCGTATGAAGACACACACACCCGCTCCGAGCTACACGATATAAGACTAGAACCGAAGTATGGGCCCAAGGGCTGGAAGGTAGGTGTGTACCTGATGGAATGGACTCGATCCTTTGCTAAGGTGTGCTTCGGCGCTTTCGATATCATCGGCCATGATATAGGTGACGGCTGTGCTCGCGTGTGATTAGACTTGTCTGCGCCACTGTATTGGGTGGAGTTCGTACCGCTCATGGCATCCTCAACTGTGTTGTATTAGTACCTGCCTGACCTATGCATGCTTTTGAACTTACTCTGTGCCATTTCGCTCAAGGAATCTAAGCTCTTCGAATGCCCAGGCGTATGGCCCTTGAGCCAACCGCCGACTTTGAACATGCTGGATAAATAATCCCGCGCCGCGGAAAGACTGGTCGAAAAAAGGTTAACCAGAAGAGGCCGAGAAAGAGAGACACGAGAAAGATCGAATGAAGAGAGGTAGTAAGTATATTCAAATCTCAGCGTAAAGCGGATACGCCAGCTAAGACACTGAGCGCGTGTCTAGACACCTACTAAAGCCCACCAGACGGGCGGTGCTTACAGCTTCGTCCGGCTACTCGGAGCTAAAGTACGTGTACGTCATGTTCATTATCCGTACTTTACCCTCCAATGCACTCCATGTCCTCCTTGAAAAGAATGAATGAGGTGCAACGGCGACAGCAAAGCACCACCATGAATCACATGGAACTTTCTCGGAGCCAAGCAGTAATCTCGACGGACTCGTACCCCGCGAACCCAGTTGCCAGGTGCACCACGTGACGTCGCGCTAAGCCTTGCGGACAATCGCCGCCGCCGCTCCTCCGCTGTTAGAGCCGCATCACCAAAGCTCACCAAAGCCACAAC